TAAAGTGTGTGGCTGCCACCGGCATTTCCTGCCTGTAATTAAAGCTTTTAATGAGGAGGCATATGGTAACCCCCTCCTCACCCCAGGCTGGCATTTTGCCAGGTGTGGGTTTATTAACGGCTGCTAATTACACCATCATTCAGCGTATAAATTGAGGAAGGCTGCAGTGCCGCGCCCCAAGCACTTGAACTGGCTGTGAATGCTGCCCAAAAAATTCTGCGTTTTATTTCTCTTTTTTCCCCTTACATTGGGAACTGAACCCCCAGGTGTCTGCAGGGCATTTTGGGGACACCACCACCCCGGGACATGGTGCTGGCTCCTTCCCTGCTGCACCCGACCCCCTCCTCCATGCACAGGGGCTGCAAATCTGGCTGTACCTTCTCCTCGCAGCCAGCGAGTGCTTTTTATTCCCTGGGGTGGGTTTTGCTGAAAACCCTGATAGTCCTGGTCGCTGCAGCGGGGCTCGAAGCCTTTCCCCATCCCGGTGGCGTATCCGGCTGCGCTGGGACATCCCCAGCCCTGACAAGCCTTGGGGATCCTGCGTGTCCCCGGACCAGGAGTGCATGTTAACCCAGTAAAAAAAACCCGATGGCTTCGTGCCCCTTAGACCTCAGCTCTGCTGCTGGGGGGTTTATTGGACCAAGCACATGACAGCAAGGCTGTTGTCCCCCTCCAAAAGACTCTTGGTAATGTTTTACAACAGCTGGTTGTATTTTTTACATTGGGTCTTATAAAGTACCTTGATCCCAGCCTGGGGCTCTTTGAATCTTCCAGCTCCGTGCAATCATTTAGAGAAAATGAGCATTAAAATCAACCACGTGGAATTTCTCTCCTTTCTGTAAAAGCCAGTCCCAGGTCCTGCTCCTGCAGCAGCCTGGTGCCATCCTGCCTGTGGCTGTGTTGTACCTGTGCCGCTGTCACCGACGGGACACGTGCTGCGGCTGTCACCACCCCCATGTGCTGGATCAGCCCCCGCAAACGATGGGAGCACACGGAGAGCAGGACAAGGACACACGGAGAAGCCAGAGAGGATGGAGTTGGGGTAGGTGGAGCTGCTCACCCGTGTCCGGCCGCACAAACGCGTGGGCATGATTTGGGGCTGGGAATGCCCCTCCGGTACCGTCGGAACCAGCAGCTGAAGGATGAGCTGCAGCAGCGGGTGAAGGTGGAAAGAAAAGCCTGTGGTCTTTGTTGGACGCCTTAATGCTGCGCAAGTGACTGAGGTTAATTGGGGTGGGGGGATTGCCCGGGCTCTGGGAGCTTCCCTGGGAATGAGGGATGCGGAGCAGAGCGGGGCGTTTGCAGGCAGCTGCCCAACGAGGTTTTGCAAAGTGTGGCAGCAGCTCCCAGGCTTGTTGCCCGAAGGTGGTGGGTGCTGGCCAAAGGCATCTCTCTAGAGCAAGAATTAATATTTTAAAATATTTCATGATGACTGAAATGACAGGTGCACACGTGACAGGACATCGTTTTGGGGAGCAGGTAGGATGGGGTGTTTGCAGGAGGGTGTGAGGCCGGTGGGGGTATGGCCCTGCCAGAGCCCAGTGCTGCCTGAGCGGGTCTGTTGGCTATCCACACCAGGAGAGTTGAACATTTAATATCAGATTTAGTTATTTGATATCTTTACCTATTTGACATTACAGGGGATTTTTGCTTTAGCAGTATGATACGGCAATACGCTGAAATCCCAGCACGACCATCACGCCCAGTACTCCCTGCTCACCCACCACTCCAATTGGGAAGCATGTGCTGGAGAAGACCTTGGCATTGTGCAAGCTGCCTGGTCGGGAGAGGAAAAAGTGCAGAGGTCTGAGCACAAATGAGTGAAAATAAGAATTCCTCTTTAAAGGAAAATACAGTGTTAGGGTGTATGAACCCTGCACGTCCTGATCCAGCTTCCTGCAAATACGTGCGTGGGCTCTCATGGCACATAACGCCCAAAGAAAAGTGTCTCCTACTCATTAAGGGTAAACCAACCGATTTATCTGAGGACACACTCGATGATTCTTGGTGCACAGGAAAGTTACGGAGAAGAGGGGGGAAAAAAAAATGACCCAGCCTTTTCTGCCAGCAAAGCCTTGGGCCAGTGTCCTGGTGCCCTCTGGTGCCAACGTGTCCCTGACCGGTGGCACAGCCCTGCTGCCTTGGCATGGCCAGTGCTTCAGGGGGCTCAGGGTGGGCTCCTGCCCCGGTTTCAGTGACGGGGCCCAATGATTTGGCTGCGTTGGTGCTAATTTTGCACTGTGACAGTATTTTCAGTTTCATACCGTACCATTGGCAACACGCAAGGTGAGCTCCCCTGAGTGTCACCCCCTTCTCCACTAAAACTTCTGTGGATATCCATTTCATTCTCCATTTTATTGAAAATGTTGTTAAGAAGGACTTTTAATGTTTATTTGAATTTTGTTGGTAAGCATTTTAAAAAATAGCATTATTCCCTCTCCAAAAACACTTGTTCTTCAATATACTGCTACCATATATTTTACTGAAATATGCAGAATCTCCTGGAGAGACATTTTATTACTCTTTGGGAAGAACTGTTTTTGGCAACACCCTTCTCCATGTATCCCACCGCACCCCAGTTGAAGACTTTTATTCTTAAAAGTGATTTTTATGAACAAAAATGAAGAGGAGAAATTAGGATTTTAATAGCAGTTGAATTTCAGGAGCCTGTATCTCCAGAGGGGTCATGGCAAAGTTCTTTTTTTTTTTCTTCACAGATCTGCTCTTCTCCATGTGTCATTTATTTCAACTAAATGGTTTTGTCATCTGACCACCAGCATTTAATCGCTGCTGAAGAGAAGCCTAAACAAAGCGCTCGGTGTCCGAAATCTCCTGTTGAGAATCTCTATGAGCTGTAAACGGCCATCTTACCTGTTCCTATTAATGATTTATTCATTCACCAAAAAAACCTACCTCTTTTTCAGGAGTAAATACCTTAAAAGATCTAATTCAACAGGAGAAGTCCAGTCACCCTTTAATCGACCATGCCAAAAGCATTCCACTGTGGAGCAAACCCAAACTGTGCCGATGCCGAAACATTGCATGAACGTACACAAAGACCTTCAGAGTCAGGACCTTCCCCCTCTGAGCACAGCAACGCCTTCACTCAGGACCGCAGACAGAAAGTAAAAGGTTTCAGATACACCAGTGCACTCTCTCACACCTCTTTTTTTCCCCTCTTTATTTCTAATACACGGTACCAATAGTTTTGAGGACTTCAATGAATATATCGTGACATTACAAGATTTGGACAGCGATTACGCTGAACTGTGCCCTGACGAACAGGCAGCCATAGATTGTTTCATCCCCCTTTGTCAAATTCTTGCTTGTAGTTCTCTTGTGGAAATGTTTGTGGACTTTTTGGGTTTGAGTTATCACTTTTGTTTCTTTGTAGATTTTTTTCAAATGTTATTCTTTACAATTTAGCATTAAATGAAACAGTATCTACATATTTGCATTCAATTTACAGACTAGTGGCTGCTTGATTTCTGCAACAAAACTGATGGCAGTGGCATAAAATGAAGACACACTTTTTCAGTAAGATTGTCTACAGTGGACATTGTATTAATCACGTTTTTCTACTCTTCAAACTTCAACTTAGAGAATACTAGATAACTTTTAAGGCACCAAGTTGTTTTCTAAGCAAGCAAGTTAATTCTTACCCGATTCCCTATTTTTAACTCCAGTTAACTAATGGTCACTACACAAGCCTAGAGCTCAACATCAGAAATTAATTTCCTCCATGAGGATTTCAAGAGTGGCCACCAAGTCTCACGGGTTTCCAGGTGCACATCAAGGCAATATATGTTTAAAGATACTGGTTTTACCAAGCTGATTCTGTATGAAGTCTTCAGAAGTTGGGGAAGGAAGAATTGCAAAGTGTATTTTATGCATTTAATACATTTTTTTTTTTTATTGCAGTAACTTCTAAATCATTCACAAGTTTAGATTCTTTCAAACATCTATGCTAATAAAGTAGAAAGTAGTGAGATTTCATGATATGTCTGTACAGGAGATTCAAAACCTGCTGAGGCCAATGGAAAGGTGCACACAGGCTGTCATGTATTTTGAATCAAGTACAGATAGAATAAGCTTAATTAAGTGACTTCAAAAGAACTCAAGCATCTCAGTCTTCACAACATTTTTACAGAAGAATCTGACAAAATGGACTTTGCTATCTAGTAGAAAAAGGATACTGAACAACAAAAATTAAACCAATCAAACAAAAAAAATAAATAAAGCAACATAAGCTGAAGCAGGACAAAGTGATTGAGTTGCTCTTTTCCTCCAGTGGCTTCTGAATCTTCAGTCTATGGAGCAGCATGTTGTCCTTGCTTAAAAAACCCACAAGCTACCTCTTTGCAAACATATGTGGAGTGGTAAGTAACCCTGAAATTTCAGAAACTGGGTTGAAATTTGCTATTGATGCAAACAGATCTCTTTCTCATTAGGGCCTTGACAACAGCATCACTGTCTCACTCTTCTCTATACGCTTCCTAGTTGTTGGCTTTTAAAACACAGCGAATGGCTCCTTAGCCTTAATGGCATCACTGCCTTCGGGAAACTTGTACAACGTCCCGATGCCCTCACTGACCAAAATATCGACTCTGTTACCTGAACTGGTAACAGGCTGGAAACTCACACATTCTTACAGATGTTTTTGGTTTTTTTTTTAATAATCCTTAAAATAAATAACTGCTGTGTTGTGTTCAAAGTTAACGTTCATAAGGTCAGGAAGGCACCTTCACAGCCAGGTTATCCAACCCAAAATCTATTCCCAATCACCAGTTTCAGAGTTACATTTTACAGGCTTTTTTCTCCACCTGCTTCCCTAGGGAGGTGGTAAATAGGCATAAACTAACACAGTTCAACAGCTTTTAGTCTAGGTCCTAGCAGGATTAGAGGAGTAAGGGATCAGGGGAGATGCTTCTGGAAAGAAATGCCCCTACCATTGTAAGCAAGCTGTCCAAATTATTTTTCTTGCCTTTTCAGAATTTCCATTACAATAACTGATCATGTTTCTTTATTTTTTTGCTTTTCTCTTCAACATCTTTCAGCACATCTTGCAGTTTCTTAGAGTTCTGTGTCAAGAATGCAAAGCTTTCTTTGAAGTTGCTGGTCCCGTGCTCCCTACAGATATTCTCAAGCCCATCAAACCATTGTAAAATCTTCTCAAGCTCAGCCCGAACAGCCTTCTGTTCTTCCAGTTCTGCTCGCAGTGCCTGCCCAGCAGATACCTCAGCCCTGCATTGCTTCTGGAGCTGACAGACCTCATCCTGAAGCGCCTGGAACTGTTCTTTGCTGTAGGGGTACTGCTCATGGACCTTGTCCTCGGGAAGAAGCACGTTCTTAGGGATGTTTAACACCAGCTGCAGAAGCACTTCTTCCATTTTACTGAAGAGTTTGTCAAAGTGCTCCTTCATGAAGAGAAGAAATTTCTCCGTGCTTTTCCGGATTTGGAAGGGGCTGATTTTACAGTCGGGAAACCCGTCCAGCTTCTTCAGGATTACGCTCTCAACCACCAGCATCATTTCAAAGAGGTAGTCCTGGAATGCGATGTAGACGCGCAGCATGCAAGTCTGGGGGGTGAAGCCAAAGAACTGTGCTTCGTAGGCCATGGGATTGACAGACATGGTGGCGGATGAAAGCCGGTAAGGAGAGGAGAGAGAAGCGCAGGTCCCGGGGGAGACAGGCCTTGCTGAAGGCGGGAAGGCCGGTCTCGGAACTGACGGGGAGCCGGTTCCCACAGAAGACCTAGCGTGGCCGCGGCCTCCCGCACCGTTACCCGAGGCACCACCAGGGCCGCTCCTCCCGCTCCAGTGCCGCAGACTGGAGACAGGCCTTGCTGAAGGCGGGAAGGCCGGTCTCGGAACTGACGGGGAGCCGGTTCCCACAGAAGACCTAGCGTGGCCGCGGCCTCCCGCACCGTTACCCGAGGCACCACCAGGGCCGCTCCTCCCGCTCCAGTGCCGCAGACTG